CTTAGACAGGACTGATCAAGATGAAGAAAACCAACCATTTCCATCCGAGGTCCCAATCGAAAGTAGCCGCATTGCTGTTGTTTTTGTTGTTGTTGATTTGTATTTTGTTTGTTATTTTTATTTTGTTGCTGATTTTGCGCTAGGGTGACAATAAAACGAAATGTGTCAGACAAGGATGACCGAGTGCTGGTGTAAAACAAACACATGGGTCGCCACCACTCGAAGAACGAGCTTCGCTTCTGTCACAAGTTTATGTTGACGTCCTTTGTTACTTTGTTACAGACTGGGTAAACAGTGACCACTCATCTCACTTACGATTTGTGAATGAGTTCTGGGCGGGGCTTTTATGGGTTATGAGGGATCACACGCTTACCTCATCAGCAGCTGAACATTTGTGCCTATTGGTCAACAGTGGGAGGGGCCTACGCAACATGATCAGTTGGAGGGACTACCTAACGCCTAATGACAAAACATAATGGAGTCACTAAGGTGGCCGTCTAAGACAGGTGTTTTTGTTTGGTGTGATAGGGGTTGTGTGTTAAAATATGGTGGCCGCGGCCGCTTTGGACAGGTGCCCGTCTTAAAGAGGTGGCCGTCAGGGCAGGTTCGACTGTAGTAAAGTTAACGCATCACCAAAACTTTCAGGGGGGTAATCTGCAGGTTTAATGTGCAATATACGCACATTTGTGCGTAAACGGAGCCCTGTCATTCATAACAACAAGAGCACCTAGAAAGGTAATTCGAATTGGCGTAAGGAAGTGGCTATTCTCACCGCGGGTGAGACTTGCCAGCATAGGCTATTCTCACCCGGTGTGAAACAAGACATGTTTTTCCTCATTTCGGAATACTGTCTATCGGTGTGGATGATCAAATTGATATAAGCCAAGAAAAAATTACGTTATAGCACAAAAGTAAGCTAATTTGATCGTCTTCAAAGATGCTCTATGGCTATTTCACTTTTCGAATCGAGCCGAACTACGCGGGTAGGGTTGGGTTGATTTAAATCAGTTGATTTTTTAAATTTAAATCAACTTGATTTTTTAAAATAAAAATCAGTGATTTAAATCACTTTTTTTTTAATGTATTTTTATTCAGTTTTTACACATTTTAACATTCAGAATTCCTTTCCTTAGTTTCATAAAACAGATATAAGGTTTAGTAGACTAATATAATCATGCTTAAAAGTCTGCTTTCCCCCCCCTTTCACTGTAAAATAATACAGTATTCAATTTACTTTTTTTTTCTATAAATGAAATCAGAGCTGGGTTGATTTAAATCAGTTGATTTTTAATTTTTTTTTATCAACTTGATTTTTAAAATAAAAATCAGTGATTTAAATCACTTTTCAAAAAAATGTATTCAGTTTTTACATATATTTAAACATTCAGACTTCCTTTCCTTGGTTTTATTAAACACATATAAGGTTTAGTAGACTAATACTATAATAATGCCTAAAAGTCTGCTTTCTCCCCTGTCACTGTAAAATAATACAGTTCTCAATTTATTTATTTTTTTCATAATTGAAAACCAGGGTTGGGTTGATTTAAATCAGTAGATTTTTTTTATTCAAATCAACTTGACTTTAAAAATAAAATTCTGTGATTTAAATCACTTTTAAAAAATGTATTCTGTTTTTACATCTTTAAACATTCAGAATTCCTTTCCTTGGTTTTATAAAACAGTGTCACTGTAAAATGATACAGTACTGAATTTTTTTTTTTTCATAATTGAAAACCAGGGTTGGGTCGATTTCAGTTGATTTTTTAAAATTTAAATCAACTTGATTTTAAAAATAAAACTCAGTGATTTAAATCACTTTAAAAAAATGTATTCTGTTTTTACATCTTTAAACATTCAGAATTCCTTTCCTTGGTTTTATAAAACAGATATAAGGTTAGTAGACTAAAATACTCATGCTTAAAAGTCTGCTTTTCCCCCTGTCACTGTAAGTAGTAAAATAATACTGTACATATTTAACTTTTTTTTCATAATTGAATTTAGCATTTTCTTCTTTTTACACAAACACAAGCGCGCGCACAAACACACACTGTAATAAAATGCAAGTTTATCTATGCATAATTACC